CAACCTCCCCCCCCCACCCTTTTCTCCCCAGCACTTCCCGGAGACGTCATGGGAGGGAGCTTCCTACAACCAGCAAACACCTGGCAGCTCTTGGGCTTGAATTCTTATTGTGGAGGAGGAGGAGGAAAGGTGCCCTCCTTCCTGTGGGGCAGAGCTTGGCCAGGGAGGGTGAAGGAGGAACAGGGATTCTGGGGCCTGGGAGTCGGGCCGGTGGGCGGCAGGCACTGCTGCCTTCTCCTCGTAGACACCCAAAGGAAAGGAGACGGCACAATGCCCCCGGTGTTTTCTCCTCCTCTCAGGATGGCCCTCCCTTCCCATGCCCGGCTGGCATAGAACGCCCCCCCCCCGGCCGCTGTGGCTTAGGACGTACAGTGTATGGTGCAAGCTCTGTTGGGGGGGGGAGTCTCTTTTCCTGGGAAGCAGCTTTCAGCGCCCCGTGGATAGACATCTTTCCCCCTTCCTGACCTTTTCCGTCCCCCCGAGAGCCCCGTCCCGGGACCCCTGCCCCTCCTTCCACCATTCCATTTGTCTCCTTTCCTCTCCTGGTTCTGCCAAAACCACCGCCCCCCCACCCCACCCCTCTAGGCACTCCCAGTCCCAACCGCCGTGTTTCTATAGGCACATTTCTGTCTCCCCCGTCGGTGCATGAGACAAATACTACACCGTTCCACTGTTGTTGTTTTTCGAGCAGCCGTTGCATGTCTACGCCGGAGCTGCATCTGTGTGCATTTGAGTGCATTTGAGGATGAAGGTCAAGGTGTGGGAGAGCGGGGTGGGGTGGGCCCGCGGCCCCCACCGGGAAGCTGTGGGTGCAGGAGGCCGATGAGGGTGGCCGAGGAGGGGTGACCATCTTGGCTTGCCAGGCTTCGAGCTGGCGCAGGTCCCCCCCACACACACACCTGCACGTCTTCCGCCTCTTCCTGAAGGAGATGCCTTGAGCCCTTCTCTGGCATAGGAAAACAGGCTGGGTCCTGTGCCCGTAGCGCCCCGGCTATCTCTAGGGCACAGGCAGGCCCGTGCAGCCTGCCTGCCGTTTGCTTGTCTTGGGAGAGCAGGCGGAAGATGGGGTGCGAAGAGCGGCCGGGCCGGGAACTGAAGAGCGAAAGCCGAAGCACCTCCGTGATCCGGAGCAGCCCCTGGAAGGTGTTTATGATCCCTTGCCCATTGCCACGCGGGCTCTCTGGGGACCCTGCATGGCATGGCGGCTGCCCAAGGAGTGTCTAGGAAGACCCAGAGGGGTGGGTAGCGCCAGGAGGTGAGCTTTGTCATGGAGTCATGGGCAGCTGTGCTCCCCCAGGACTCTGCTGAGGATGGGGGGGACAGCCAGCGGGACTCCCCTGCATCCCCTTGCTATGTGGAGTGGGGGGGGGAATGACAAGTACGTGCAGTTTCTGACCTTCCGGTGGGTGTCGGGTCAGTGGAGATATTACTGGGGGTGGAGGGGGGGTTCTAGTGGAGTGAGGCAGCAGTTGGACTTCTCAGAGGGGGCCAGCCTGATATAGGGCAGCCCCAGATGCGAGGCTGGGCTGCACGGAGCCCAAGGGTGCCACCTCCGCGCATTTATTTTTTTGTCGTTGCAATAATTGCCAGCCTCGTCTAGATGTTGCCATGGTAGCCGGGTCCACGTGGTCTCTGGCAACGGTGCTCGGAGGCCATTTCTTCAGGACAGGCTGCCCTTGGGCTCCGAGCGGAGGGTCTCGGGCGGGGAGACGGCGGGGGAAGCGTCGGCCGGCCAGCCAGCCAGCCAGCCAGCGGGCCTCCCTTGGTTTCTGCAGCAGCCGAGGGAAGGGGAGGGCTCCCTTGGGGAGGGGAGGGTCAAAGAGGGGTGGGACAAGCCGCCCATTCAGGGTAGGGGTGTGGGAGAGTGCGGGGACCCTCCCCTTCCCACAGCTTGAAAACAGGCCTTCTCTGGACAGCTGTGGCCGGGATCCTTCGGCCAGGCCAGGGGTTCAAAAGAAGCCACGTTTCCAAACTCTGGCCCTTTCTAGTCCTTCCCAGTGCCGTGGCCAGACAGGCCTCTGCTTCCCACACCCCCTCCCAAGGGCCCCATGCACCCCCCAAGGCCCCCCCGGCACAGGACACCTTCTTGAGCCCTTGGGTTTGCTAACGTGATGTCGCTGAGCTGCTTACCTGCCCCCCGCCCCCTTTCCCTCCTGCCTTGTACAGGCTAAGCTGTATATATATATCGAAGAGTAGTTTTTATTCAGTACAATAATACTATTTTTGTTAACTGTATGTCTGTATTTATGTGTGTTGGCTGTACTCTTCCCTGTCCCGCCCTGTCCCTATGCTCCAGCATCCTAATTAGCCACATCGTACATGAACCACAAAGGTCTAGTGGAACCCCGTGGAGACCAGATAAGGGGTGGCGGGCGACCCCGTGCGATGGGTACCTGCCCGTCTCTCTCTCTTTCTCTTTCTCTCTCTCTCTCTCCCATTTTGATTTAAAGTGCGCCTGTTGAACTTTTAAGTCGCCTGCCCCATCTGTTTGTGTTCAGTCCCTACACAAACCCCTTATTAGAAGAAGAAGGAAAAAGAAGTTTGTGTGTGAAATTGGAAGTTGAGTCCTAATAAAACTGTGAGTTGCATCTCTTGGTCCGAGTCCTGGGATTCTCTTGCTTCCTTCTCTTGTCTCACGCATCTTGGTTCCTCCCTTCCTTAGTCAGGAGGGATAAATGGTGCCCCATGGCTTCACGAAAGCCCACTTTTGCATCTGGAAATGCTTTTTAAAAAACAATTACAGTGGTGCCTCGCTAGACAGTTACCCCACATGACAGTTTTTTTCGCTAGGGATTGACTTTTTGTGATCACTATAGCGATTCGCAAAACAGTGATTCCTGTGGGAGAATTTCACTGGACAATGTTTGGTCCCTGCTTCGCAAACCAATTTTCGCTAGACAACGATTTTGACAGCTCCCTCCGTGCTCGCAAAATGGGTGTTTTGGGGACCTAAGCTTCGCAAGACAGCAATTTAAACAGCCGATCGGCCATTCGCAAAGCGGCTTTCCTATGGCTGATCTTCACTAGACAACAACGATTCTTCCCCATTGGAACACATTAAACAGGTTTCAGTGGATTCCAATGGGGAAATGCTTTTCGCTAGACGATGATTTCGCTAAACAGTGATTTCAGTGGAACGGATTATCATCGTCTAGCGAGGCACCACTGTAAATGGGAGACTCTCACAGGCTGAAGCAGGAACATGGAAAGATGCTCAGGTTGTCGCGGCCCTAGTTGTGAGAAGTCAGAGGCAGCCTTTCCTCCCTGCGCTGTCAGGAGATGAGGGTCGTCCTCTCCCAACATTTTGCAGGAACATCATGTTGGCTGAGGATGCCAAAAAGGAACGGCTGAATGAGAAGCACCCCCTGCTAGATATTTTTGTCATGGCTTGCTTGAGATAGCCGCTGAAGACATCAGATGACAAGGTGACCCTTGGCTTAGGCTGCTGGATTCACAGAATGGTAGTACCCGGATGGGAGGAAACTCACAGCTAAAATATTCCTGACAAATAGCTATCTATAAAACACATCCTGGTGCGAAACAGCTCTTCCTATCAGAAAAAAGTTCTTCCTAATGTTTGGTCTACATCTTTTTTGCGAATTGAATCCATAGGGTTCAGCTCCAGTCCAGTTGCCATCTTGATCACCCTTCCCTAGATATAACCTAACTCACTAATATTTTTAAAGTTGGTTGCCCTGAACTGGACACAGTATTCCAGGTGAGGTCTAAGCAAGAATACAAGGATACTGTTAACTTGCTTTGGGCTAAACATAATATACTTCAGTTGATGCAACTGAGTGTTGGTTTGATTTGATTTGATCTGGTTTGCTGCAACACACTCAATGTTACCTTTGTGGTCATGCCCAGGTCTTTTTTGTCGGCGCGACTGCTGAACCGCTTGCCACACATCTGACGTTTTAGTGCAGACGGTTCTCCTTGCCTCAATGGACCACTTCACATTTGTCCCTGTTGAAGCTCACTTCTTGATGCGGGCCACTTCTCCAGTCTGTCACGATGGTTTGGCATCCTGATCCTGCCTTCCAAAGTATTAGCTACCCCAGGTCCGAGCTGGGCATCATCAGAAAGGGTTTCTGCTTGCCTTGCTCCTCTGCCCTGTACTCTCCCTGATCCCCAGGTGAGGCAGGTAAACCAGTTGCATCTTGTCAAATCAGATTCACCCCGTTGTTTCTACGGCAGAGAGGCAGCAGGATCAGATACCCTTCCAGGAGTCTGCCCGTTGCCTCTCTGCACGTGAGCTATCACGGCTCTTACCTTGCCCCCCGAGTTTGGAATTCCCAGCAGCCTCTGAAGAAGGTTGATCTTTCCAGAACTCAGGAAAACAGAACTCTCCGAATCTTCCTGCCCGTTGTAGGTGGTGCCAGGTTCTATCAGCTTTGGTCTGATGCCCTTGAAGGGAGAGCAGCCTCCTTCAGCCACAGTGACAGGAGGATTTCCTCACTATACACACACACCCCATAATGAGCCTGTAGCAAAAGGATTCATTAAATCCTAACCTCAGACCAGTTGCTCTTTTAGGTTACCTCTCCTTGAACCCTCCACCTACTATT